GCTATTTTACGCTGGTATTCTGTGAGAGCGCGGTCCTTCCCAGGTCGAGCCGACCCATTCGTGCTATACTACTAATATAGCTATAGCATGGCTCTACCACGTAAAAAAATCAATAAAGCAATTTTTTGACGTATAGATAAAGTCTGCGCCATAATGCTAGACGTGCAATCATTTCCACGTTCGAGTAACAACTGAGGCAGGAAGCGATTTCTAGCGTAGTGTAATAAGCAGCGCCCTGTCTGGTACTCTGGTAGGCAGGGCACACGATGGACAGGGCCCGATAAATCGTGTAATGTAATAAGCCTTTTAGTTCGGCCGTTCGGCGTCAGTCGCCGTCGTGAGTGGACATTGTTACGGTTGTTTGCAGCGACTCAAAAAGATCGCTGTACAAATAAACAATATTCGAATAACCCAATTTCTTAAATACTTGATTATAATAATAATGAGAGATTTTTATTACAATATTTTAAAAGCACAGAATAAATAATAGTAGTACGTACTAAAAGTAAGTAGTATCAATTTTTTCGTAAAGGGTGTCATTTTCATGGTTTTCTAGGGTGTTGAAGCCGATAGGGCTGTCGAAATGTAAATCCAAAATGGCGGCTGCAATAGGTATAAATTTTTCCATCATGGGTGTTATTTTCATGGTTTTCGAGGGTGTTGAAGCCAATAGGGTTGTCGAAATGTAAATTCAAGATGGCAGCTACAATAGGTATCAATTTTTTCATCATGGGTTTCATTCTCATGGTTTTCGCGGGTGTTGAAGCCGATAATGCTGTCTAAATGTAAATCCAAGGTGGCGGCTGAATTAAAAATATCAACTTTTTCATGGTTTTCGAGGGTGTTAAGGCCGATAGTGCTGTCGAAATATAATCATTTTATACGTATTTTTTTTAATGCGCTTAGGGCATACCCAATTGGTTTTATGTTTACGTATATTTATTTTTATAAGTGTCTCACAAGTCTATTTCTGATTAAGTCTCCAAGAAGTAATGCCCTAAAATATGGTCCTACCGCTTCGCCACCCACTTCCATCGACTTCCTACATGTCTAAACAGGTCGTCACTCCATCTAGAAAAAGCATCTACACTTCACTTGCCAATACAAGGCTGCCGTTCGAGCACGTTTCGTCCCATTCGTTCCACGATTATTCGAACTAAATGGCCAGTCTATTGCCACTTCAATTGACTGATCCTGTTCTAAATATATATGTTTTATATTAATAAATGTTATTCTTTGTTTTAGTTTCTGGTCATTGGTCTATTAATGGTGGCGAAAGTTACAAGTCAGACACAGTAAATGACAGCAACTACTTTCTATCAAGTTCTATACACGTTTGCTTTCTATTTATTAAAAATAATAAACGAACTAGCTAAAACAACACATATCATATATTGCATGTAATAAAATTTTAGCACGTTCACACTATCAATCACGAAACTATAGACAAGCTTACATTTTCACTTTATTGATTTTTTAATTTAATGTATAAATAACGGTTTCCCTTTATCGTAATTTGTCATAACGTATATGCTACATTAGTTAACTTAATTTTCGTTGTCAATAAAAAAAATATTAGTTTGAGTAATATTTAAAAATAGCGCCAATAAAAGAGCCATGGTAGCTAAAATTTCGTTGTACGCGAGCAAATAGAGATAAAGTTTCCACCGACAGCTCCGTGGCGCAATGAGTTGCAGCACTGAGGGCCGCAGGTTCAATTCAGATCTGGATGTTTGTTTGTCCACGTGCAATTCATGTGAGTAAAACGTCTCCACGAAAATGCTAGCGTGGAGTTTGTTTTTATTTTAATAAAAAACAAGAAAATAATTAAATGGATTGCATTCCTGATACGACATTATTAAAAAGGTCTGTATCTTATATATTAGAAAAGCTGTTCAAGAAAACACATGTTTATTGACTTGCAGTGGCGTTGTGAGAAGATCCACTACACTAGACCAGTGTGAGGCAACAAAAGGTAAAAATCAGAAGATGGGTGGCGGCGTCCGCCCCATAACAATTAGAAAATAAAAATGCTGAGATGTGTCATAGTTTAACGCTAAGCCACTCTGGTACCAAGCCATCAAATGAGTTCCCTATCACCGAGCGTGAGGCCGGGATCCTTGCATCTAATATACTCCTCTCTGTATTGTCTGTGGTATTTGGGTCCGGCATTTTTGGGCAACCACAGCTAAAACACCACAGCATCCACTTACCATCAGGTGGACTGTGTGCTCGTTTGTCACCCTTATGCAATAAAGAAAAGATAAATCCTCGTCCATCAATCAACAGAATATACCAGGTGCAAATAATGTTGACAATATAAGCTTGTTAAAGTTGTTATTAACGCCAAATCTATAACGGTATTATAAACTTGCAAAAACAAGACCTTCTCAAAGAAGAACCGGCATAAACTGCGGTATTTTTCTTAATGCTACCGTGTTACAGTTTTAACAAATAAACCAATAGTCAGTGAATATATACTTTATATACATTATCCTTAATATATTGATCTACTTTTATACTCGTAGTTGACTTCTTTTTAAAAAAATCCTTCATGGTTTATTTGATGCAGAACTTTTCTTTGAACATCGCTATTAATATAATAATAAAGCTTTTAGTGCACGTACGACTTTTAGTGCACGTACGACTTTTAGTGCACGTACACGGATAGGAGTAACTAACGAAAATATGATCGAATATTTGACTCATATAAATATTGTAATTTAATTTTGCAATACCTATTCTACACCATTATGCTGACGTCACTGTTGAATTTTCGTCAATATTTGTGCCGCAAGTCAATATAAAATATTAATCAAGGAGATTTTGCATTATTAACCTTGACCGTGAAACCTTGCCGTTATATCTCACGGACCAAGCGCTCGTTTTTTATTTCGTAGTTGTTTACTACTGAAAAGAATTCGATTCCCGCGGCAACGCGGCTTCTTCAAAACGCTCCGTCCAGTTCTTCTGGGAACTAAGTAAGCATTTCCAAACGGTACGGTACACGCGTAGATGCTGCATCAATAAGTCTTACAATTATATAATACTAGAAACCTGCCAGAAGTTCTCCGCTCTGTGTAAGTATACAAATTTTCATGGCAGTTGACGTTGCAGAAGCTGATGTGCTGTAGTGCCATCTAGTGGTGAGTTACAACAAAGTGGATAACATAAAAACCATCTAAATGAAAAAATTAAAAATATCAAATATGACTTTATTAGTACAAGTTAACTTGATTATTAACGACGCCGTCGATAGCTCCGAAAGTATTAGTACCATAAAAATTACTTTCAGCAAGTATTATTTTGTCTAGTATCAATAAAAATTAATATATAAGTTGTCACCGTGGTCGGGCGTGACCATGGTCTTATGAAAAGTGTATTCATATAAGTACCTATATGATGATAGTTTACTGGAGTGCAAATAAACATGGTATATAAAAATGTTGAATTCGACCACATTTTTCGGTTTTCCACTTAGTGCCAGTTCCATCCTGCATAGTTTGGTTGAGAACCAGATGATCTTTGCAGTGAGTAGAGGGATGCAGGTGGAACGAGAAATTGCTTTTTAGCAATCTATGAGGTAGGCTTAATATGTTTACCAGTGACTTGTGATGGACTGTACTGGTGCTGCAAGATATTCATGGAAATGCAACCAATAGTTTATGTAAGTCTAGTGATAAATATTAATTTATTGTGGATGTAATCCATCCCCCATGACCTGAAGACGTCGTAAGAGGCGCTTACCAAAAAGTCCAGATAAACTTTATACGTGGTAGAGCCATGCTGCAGCTATATTAATAGAATAGTTGAAGCACAAATGGGTCGGCTCGACTGGGGAAGGACCACGCTCTCACAGAATACCAACGTAAAATAGCAGCTTAACACTGCTGTGATTCGTATGGTGAGTGTAGAGAATCGAAGACCCTTTTTACTAGAAACGAGGCATTCCATTTTAGTCCTCACGGGTGGCAGCGCATCTGCGTTTAGATTCGTAGTCGTGATAGATGTAGAATTCTATGGGCCGCAGTAACCAATTGCCACCAGTTGGACTGTGTGCTCGCTTGTCACCCTTATCCTATAAAAAAAAGACTTCATGACCTCGTAGATGCCGGGATACCACTTCAGCTAATAAAATACCCAGATAGGTGAAGAGGTGCGGTGTCAGAGGTGCGAGACATCTGGTATTTTAATAAGACGCATGTCTAGCGTACTTCTTACAATAGGATAAGCCCAGTGCACTGGATTGTATGATAAAGGAGAAATCGAAGTAGAAAATATACCTATTTTTTTTTTTTCAGAATATTATTGCTTACTGACATTGCATCAATTTATTTACCTATAATAGTAATATATTAGTATTTTATCTATTATAATACAATAGATATCAGTAATTAATAACAAGTAAAAATATAATTTAGATAAAGGTGGAATTTAGATAAAGATAGATTAAAGAATAAATACCAATTCACTCACACTGTCTAGGTACAATAAATTAACAATTTCTCAGTATTTGTTTTACATTCAAAATCAGATCAAAGATGTTATAAAATATCAAAAGATGACCTAAACATTTATTATTTTACGAAAGATTAATAAAAACATAATTAGTTTAAAAAAATCGTTCTGGTAACTCAGGGACTTTACGCCCGTCATGCATTTTCATGAGTGTGAACGTGATTTTCTATCTGCTCGGCGTTAAATTAAACACCGTGAGAACATCTACTTTAAAATTAAAAATATTTTTTGAATATTTTAAGGAAACTTTATAATAACAACAAACAAATATTAGGATTTTTCAATAATAATTATCATTTATTTTCAACGAAACATAGTATTTTCTAGCAGCTTACAAATAAGTTTCTATACATCTAAAATAAATAAATGCAAATAAATTATCACTCCGTTAGCTACAAGACCTTTAATCTTATTAAATACAAGATATAAACGTCCGAAGCAGATCAGTCAATATGGCGCTATTTTTTTTTAATTTTCAGTATCTAATGATGGCGGGTTCTTCGCAGCAAAGGTATCAACATATTAGCGAGCCTCTGTTTCAACCTGAAATAAACAGAAAAATCATGACTGGCCTGTTGGTCTAGTGGTTAGTGACCCTGACTGCTACGCCGGAGGTCGTGGGTTCGATTCCCACCCAGGACAAATGTTTGTGTGATGAGCACGATCATTTGTTCTGTGTCTGGGTGTAATTTATCTATAATATTTATGTATTTAGATTAGAAATATATAAGTATGTTTATCAGTTGTCTAGTACCCATAACACAAGCTCTGCTTAGCTTGGGACTAGATGGCGTTGTTTGATAGTTGTGGAATATTATTATTATTATTATTATTATTATTATATTCAACAAAACTTAAAAATATATACTTATAAGACATATTGTTTTTTCATTCTATTAATAATATTTTTTTTTATAGGATAAGGGCGACAAACGAGCACACAGTCCATCTGATGGTAAATGGTTGCTGTGGCCCATAGACATCTACATTTATCCTCGATTACGAATATCAAAATGTAGATGCGTTGTCACCCGTGAGGACTAACATGGAATGCCCCGTTTCCAGTAAAATGGTCTCCGGTTCTCTACACTCACCATACGAAACACAGCAGCATTAAGCTGCTATTTTACGCTGGTATTCTGTGAGAGCGTGGTCCTTCCCCGGTCGAGCCGACCCATTCGTGTTACAACTATACCAGAAATATAGCTGCAGCATGGCTCTACCACGTATGAGAATGAAAATGAAATGTAATTTATTATGAGCAATAAGTTTAAGTCCGTAACATATTTTCATGAACTCATTTCAATGCTTTTATTTTTAAATATATACTAAAATTATTACTTTATATGCGAAAAAACAAGTACCTTTGAGCCTTCTCCTGTTTTCTTACACTCGAGTCCTTTCTCTGGCTTTTAAGTTCGGAGCTAAGTGATACGTCACTTAGCGGCGCCTCTACTGGTTTACCAGGTGCATCTGCTGGTTTCACAGGCCCATCTGCAGGCTTTACTGGTGCCTCTCGCTTTGAGTCTTGTGGCTTCGTGTCTTCCGGTTTATTTAGATCACTGTTAGATGGAGGTTTTGGCTTATGGACTGGCACGTCACCGAAATCCTCTAAATCGAGGAGGTCACTTAAGTCAATGTCAGAAGCAGCTGCGAGAAACGATTCAGCTGGAGCCACCGCGATAACAACGCCGTCGATATTTAGCCGATAGTTCTCCGTACCATTTTGTCTTTGGTCAAAGTGCCTGTCCGGACAGTTGGCAGCAGGCGCGGCAATGCTGACAGCTGCAACCGCCGCTAGGATGACCACCTCGCAGACCACGCGCTTGTAGTTGACCATCGCGGAAGGTGATTGAATGCGCACTGAACCACAGCTGCCGAGGCCCGCTATGTAACCACTCTCCGTTGCATCTTTTATTTATTTGCGGAGATAGCGGTACAGACGCCGCAACGCCGTCCGATCCTAACGCGCCACCCGTCCCAGTTAAACTGGATTTAATATAACACAAACAGGCAATATGTAGGACAGTTTAGAAGGGTTCTCATATATCGTTTATAGTCGAAGAAACAAAAAGTTAACCAGTTTTTACTGCAGTTGGAGACAGTAAACATTTCTATGCTTTCGAAACCGTTAGAAACTTTCATGTTAAAAGATTACATTTAAACGTTTACAAAAAGAAAAATATGCGTTACTTATTGTTGCCATGTTGTTTTAATTAATTATACCAAAAATGACATACAATAACTTAATGTCGTACAACCTAGAGAATGTTTTTCAGCTTACCTTTACCTACTTTTAACTCAACGAATTTCATTTACATTGTTTCAAAATGTTCTTTCTCTTACAAATGTTAAAAATTAAAAGTCCTAAACATCATTTTCCATTTTTTTTTATATAATAAGGGTGACAAACGAGCACACCACCACTGCAGTCCACCTGATGTTAAGTGATTACTGTGACTCATAGACATCTACATCCATCCTCGATTACGAATCAAAATGCAGATTCATTGTCATCCGTGAGGACTACGATGGAATGCCTCGTTTCCAGTAAAAAAGGTCTCCGTTTCTCTACACTCATCATACGAAACACAGCAGCGTGGAGCTGCTATTTTACGCTGGTATTCTGTGAGAGCGTGGTCCTTCTCCGGTCGAACTGACCCATTCGTGCTACAACTATACTACTAATATAGCTGCAGCATGGCTCTATCACATAAAAAACTACATTGCTAAGAGCATATTACATTTCAGAGTCGTAACATATAACTATTAGTAAACATTATAGTTTATATTGTTATTACACATGGTAAAAGACAAAAAAATGTACTCTATGGCCTTTACCACCTTTACCGTGTCAATTAAGCTCAATGTCGAGTGTAAGTGCCGCGACCAATATCTGGCACAGATTGCGAATGGTACGGTTAAACAACCTGTTGCCCGATGCGCTTGCGCTGCGTTTCGACTAACTAACTGTACCGGATACCGCCAATAAACGGTACATCGCTAGCATTGCTTCTTTATTTACCATCATCGAGAATAGGTCTAGTTTGTTAACATCAAATTTATCAGCTTTGTCCCGATGAAGTAAAGTTGATTCAACTTTAATAGTCGCGGTAATTGTGCTTTCCGCGTTGAATCCAATTTTTTCGGTCAAGCTTTCTTACTATCCTACCACGATGATCACGTTTGTTCATAATAAGTTATACAATATGTTATTTGTGAAAATTTTATTTAATAACCCAATCATTTCTCGGAAAGAAACTGTATATAATATTTACATTGACATTTTATTTTGACGTTTTATGTATTTATTTCTTTTTAATTAATAGAATCAGGCGTTACTTTGCGGAAATTCATTATATTAAAGTTGGTGAAAATTACCTCCCGCCCTCCCTTAATTGCGTGCACTATCCCCGTCACCACTAATCATAACAACACTACTCCTAACATCACAACACTAGGATAGACACACCACTGACGACAATACGACACGTGTTTCGCCTCTACACAAGGCATCTTCAGGTGATGTAGACTCTGCGGTTTCTGACTTAGTGGTGTTGAGTTGTGGTGCTGGGATTATTGGTGACGGCGATAGTGCACGCAATGGAGGGAGGGCGGTAGGTGCTCCTCAAACTAGGTAAGACACATCATTTTATTTTATGGAGCGGATGTACGCGAGGTAATTTTTACCAACTTTAATTATTTCTCTTTGATGGATACTACGAACAAAATTATATTTCTACACTGACCTCTATATACAAGATGAATCAAACGTGAACTACGTAAATATTTTATAAAGAAACAAGATTTTATTTACGTTAAGAGTTTAATAAAATTATAAACTAAAACGGATATGGAAGAGATATGCTTAAAATTCATACTAAAATCATCACAATAAATTCATACATTTCAGTTCATACAGCTTTCTAAAAGGTCCATTTAACAACTGAACTAATTTATCTGCTGATCTGCTATCCTAATATGTATAGTCTGGTCCAATTCTTAAGATATCTACAAACGATTATCGAATATATAAAATATCTATTATACATGTGAATGTGCCTAAAAACCAGGTGAGACTGTATTGTACCTAATTAGTTCTAAAAGAAATTTGTCTCCGTATCCCTTCACTCACAATACGAAACACAATAGCATTATGCTGCTGTTGCACTCTAATGCTTTGTGTGAATGTGATCCTATCCCGGTCGGTCGAGACGAACTATTCGCGAAGTCGATTAAGCACGAACTCATTTCTGACAGGGTTCTTGGCGCTTATTAGTCTCCCGTGCTACTCAAGTTAACGGACTTCACATGTTTTCGAAATATTATATTCCTCAGTCTTGCAAGTTTCCTCAGGAGCCTGTCCTTTATTGTGGAGCTAAACTAGTGCATAAGAAGAGAGTCAGAAATCTATAGATCGACTTCACCAATTATAAATGTAATGTCTTTGTAATACAATTGTAAGTTGTCACACATTGTCGAGTACAAATGTTACACCAGCGTCGATATTTGTTACAATCATTTGTCGAATAATCAATAACTACACTAGAAATAAACATTACAAAAGCTCTCATAGAACTTGTCAATACAACGAGGGTAAACAGAAACAGAAACAGAATTTTTTTTATTCAATATAGATTATAAATAATACTTATTGAAAGTCACTCTTTTGTTTGATTACCACTGGTTCGGAAAAAACCTCTGTCCTGGGAAGAACCAGCAAGAAACCCAGCGGGACTTTTAAAGCGGGACTTGAAAAGCACACATCTTTAATTTTATTCTTCATTGAGGTTGAAAGTAAAAGAATTTTTCCATCTGCTGTAGCCCATAGCGACCGCTTTCTTTTAGGTGCACTGTGTACGGTTTTTTTTTTCGCTCTTAATTACATTATATTTATATCCATAATTTCCAACCAATTACAGCTTTATGCAACATTCACGGAGAAAATTTATAATTTATGTACCTACAAACGCCTCCACGTCACCGGAAGAATCCTACCATAAACGATAAGGGTGACGTTTAGTAAAAAATAGACAAAATAAAAGGAAATAGCTGGAACTCATTATTGTTTTGAATAAAATAAAAAAGTAACGAACATTAAATTTGCAGTTTATTTGTGCAGGTCAGCTTAAGTATGTAAACGGCCTTAATTTTATACACTAGGTCTTTGGCGAAAGTCGGCGGTCTGACCCAATATGCTAATTTTGTATTCTTAGAAACATCTGAGTAAAGGTATATTTCCAGAGGTCTACAAACAATATATTATCACAACTACAATAAGAGTGGAAACAGTTTCAAAAGTTATGGAAAATAATCTTTATATATAAAAATAGCTATCCATTAGTCCCGCTAAAACTTAAAAACGGCTCGACTTATTTTGACGTTTTTTGTGTGTGTGTGTGTGTGTGTGTGTGTGTGTGTGTGTGTGTTTATATGGGTCGTTTAGATTCACATTTGAACCCGTTAAGTAGCGCTGTTGTCATGATGCAGAAATCACGTGTGTGAAGCCGGGGCGTATCACTAGTATTGAATAATAGACTACAAGGCTATGGTTTCCGTTAAGGTTTATTCACTGAAGATGCTCCTCGAATCTGACTTTTATAAACGAATTGTGAAGAAAATTGACAAAAATAAGCCAAACATTCAGTTGTATGCCGATCTGCATAAAAAGAGTACAAAACATTGTACAAACTCTCTCTCTTTTTGGTAACTAACACTATTAGGTTGATCAAAAAGTTTTCGAAATAGGACTCTTATCAATGAGCAATAAAAATGGATTCTATTATTTGCGAACCTTAAAATTCGTTAGTAGCCCAGGCCAGAAAAAACTAAATTACTATGTCAAAAATACCCAACTTTTTTCAAATTCATATTTGGCGGGAATTAGATTCGTATAAGAAATGGAGAAACTCGAACTTCGTGCAATTATTAAATATTTCTGCCTGAAAAAAATTTCTACACAAAGTATTTTTGAAGAAGTGCAGTCTACTATAGCAGACAATGATCCGTCTTATTTTACATTGGCATACTGGTGCGCTAAATTTAAACACGGCAGACCGCTTGCAATGACGATCCTCGCACCGGGCGACCAACCACGGCTGCTACGCAAGAAAACTTTAAAAAAGTCGAAAAAATTGCGTTATTTTACGCTGGTGTTCTGTGAGAGCGTGGTCCTTCCCCGGTTGCCTCACGGCCAATGCCGCCTCCCCAGGCCCTTAAACCCAAGCCCGTCCTACAAGGCTCTTCTTCCTTTGCTGCCGACTTCTCATTAGTCTGCGGCTTTATCGGCAACATTATCGCTGCTGAATTATCTTCTTTGGCCCGCAAGCCCGCAAGGCTTGTGGGCCAAAGAAGAAGAAGCGTTGTGGTGACTACCAAGGTGAATTGAAGTGGGAGTGCCTTGAAACTGAGGAGATACGACAAAGGGATTCTTTTTAGCGGTAAACGTGCAAACTTGTGTCTTCTGGGGATTGAACTGGACTAGATTTAGTCGGCCCCAATCCGAGACTTTGTTAAGCAGAGATTCGACTTCAGACACAAGTTTGTCCCGGTACTCGGCGACGTTTTCCCGAGAAATATTGGCACGGCCGGTATATAAGGCATCACCAGTGCTGTCGTCTGCATAGCAATGAATGCTGCCAGTTAGCAACATATCATTGATATGCAGAAGAAACAGCGTTGGCACGCAGCCTTGTGGAACACCAGCGTTGATAGGCTTAAAATCAGAGCATGCACTGTCTACTACGACCTTGATGCTCCGATCAGCAAGGAAACTAGTGATCCATTTGCACAATTTCTCGGGAAACCCATAGGAAGGAAGCTTCGAAAGAAACGCTTTGT